ATTAAATTGTAGGGGAGAAAGCACTTAAAGTCATGTCAAAAAGTTTGAGATATTTTCTAAATTGTCCTTTAATCCACTTCTGAGTTTGGTCCTTTTTAAATAAGTGTAAAATTTTCAGTCTCATATAAATATTACTAGGCCTAAACTTAATAGTATATTTCGTGCCTAGGGCCAAAAATGAGGTTTTGCTGGTTCGAGATAGTTTTTAAGTTCGATACAAAGTCGAGGACTTAAAACGATTAAGAACTGCAAAACCATTTCAGTCCGTGGCACGAACGCTATTATTCACCACACTATACCCTATTACCACTAATTCACCTCAATGATAATGCACTGCACACTGATATAGTCAACACAACTACAACTTTAAGGTCATGTGGATAAATAATTTGAGGAATCAGCAAAAATAATAATAAATAGTTGCTAGGCAGCGGTACAATAAAACAACTCTATTGCAATGCTATTATATGGATACTGATTGTGTATTTAATATGCATTCATGTTTTAAGAAAGTAAGCGAGCAGCTGATTTTGCGGCCCTAGGGATGTAAAAACCTGCTCGATCCCCGAATGGCGATGACAGCTGGCATGGCCTGCAAAACGTAACTTTCAGCCACCAATTAATGTATCTATATGTAAAACAGTTAAAAACATCATAGTGTGGTAAAAACAGTATGTTACGTAACTAGTCCTGAATCCCGTGCGAGACGAAGTCGAGTAGTGGTTTTTTATACGAGTCCGGCCAACACATTTTGGACGAGTGACGTACGATAGTTTACGCCATACTACTAAATCCGTTCGAATCCTTATATATTACCACCAACTAAAGGACTAAAAATCACTAGTCATAACCTCTAAGAGAGGTTATATGTTTTTGTTATAACCACTCATTGCCACCCAAATACAGTATAATCAGCTGATTGGTGTCCGGCAAAACTCATTACAGTACAGTAGTACTGTATGAAACCCCATTTGATTAAGCTGGCGACAAACAGCTGTTTTCTGGACTAAATCCTTGCATGGGAAGTTCGTCAAAATAGTGTAGTGTGGCGTAAAAAATAATTATATATCTATTCTAAGACTACTAAAATTTGTTTGAAGCTCTTTCTAGATTCAAGAAAAGACAATAACAAACAAATACAATTTAATTAATCCAGAATCATGTGTTTCGATTCTTGAAGTTAACATAAACACATAGCCTATCAAAAACCTTAATTAAATTGTCACAGTAGTACTGTATGTCAATTTCTTCCAATGAATAAATGACCCAGGCATAATTATTTGGGAGAGCGAAAATATTATCACAAGCTTTCATGTTGTAAAAATAGCAAAATGATAATCATTATCATAAAATACTGGGTTTTTATGAATCAAGTATATATTATAATAAACAAACCTAAAAAGCCATCAATAGGTCCTCAAGGCAATGAGACTATTTGAGAATGAGTTCATAATGAAAGGTAAAAAAAACTCAAATTGCAGATACAATTTAATAAGCCAACCATGATCCTTTGACAGCAGTTGGCATGGAGTTGTTCTCACTGTCAAACATGAGTCAGAAAGTGGAAATCCACATAAAAGTATATATATTTTATAGCAATTATAAAATGATTTATTAATCAAGATAAAATGTCAAATGGGATTTTGATTGCATAATTACCCCAGTAATAAATTAAGGAGGTAGTTAAAATTATCTGATTAATCTTTTATGTGCTTTTAATTAACCACTGGCTTGAATACCCCCCAAAATCATAAAATCCCCCCCAAATAAATTTCTGATGTCGCAATTTGCGACATCAAACCCCCCTGTGGGCACCCCTGTTTACCAGAAGGATTAATGTTTGAATCAGTTGAGATTTTCCGAAAAATGTTGTAAGGAATAACATTTACATCTGCTCCAGTGTCAAGTTTGAAAGAAATTTCTATTCCATTTACAATAAGCTTTTGAGTCCAAGAATTCACGGAATCTACACTAACAATTGTTTCTATACTAATCAAATTTTCTTCAGAGGCTTTAAAATTTTCTACATATTCTACAGAATTTAACTTGGCTTCCTTGCAAGCTTTTGAAAAGTGGTTTAATTTGTTACAGTTGGTACACCTTTTCCCCCAAGCTGGACAGTTTCTATAACTATGGCTAGTCTTACACCTAAAACAGGTCTTCTTAATTTCATTTTTAGCAGGCCTGAAATCATTATTCTTAGCTATCTTATGAATTTCAGGACTAGGAGGATCGTGATAGTTTTGAACAGAACAACTTTCTCCCATGTTTTTAACTTGTTTTTGACTCTCTTCCCTAGCCTTACAATAGTGAATAGCTGTATCAAGCTTTAAATCAGATTCCATTAGCAGCCTTTCTTTAGTCATCACATCTTGGTTCCAATAATAAGCAAATCCCTAACTAAACTATCCTCTTGTTCACCGAACTGACATTTTCTTGCCTGAGTTTTCAGGTGGGTTACAAATGTGTCAATTGGCTCCTCTGATCTTTGTCTCATATTGAAAAACTCATATCTGTTTACAACAGTGTTGACTTTTGGCTTAAAGTAGTCATCAAAAGATTGAACAACATTATCTAAATTATCCCTATCTGTATCTTCTAGTTTGAAGTTATTAAAAATGTCCAAACAATCATTCCCCATTAAACAAAGGAGTAAGGCAACTTTAGTTTTACCGGGCTTTTTACCCATGTAGCACAGATGGTTGGGCCAACGTTGGTAAATTGTGGAGCCACACAGTTGGCCAACGGTAGAAATGTCACCTCTTTAAACTGTTTTCCAGCCAACCATTGTCCAACCGTTTTATTTCACACAAAATAATAAAGATTTAGTACGAAAAGCATAATTATTAGTTGAGTAAATTGATTAAATAGTTCATAAAAACAAATTTTGAAAAAAAACTAGAACAAAATTTTTTTGGCCCAGACGGGTCTCGAACCCGGGTCCTTGGACTTATGAGCCTCTTACTTTACCACTGAGCTATCTGTGATTGCTGATATAGAGAGTTTTCAAGTGGTGAAAGAGTAGCCGACAGTTGCAATGGTCGCAATACTTCAAACATTTTTGATACTACACAGTATAATATGATTCTGTTAATCTGTTAAGGCATCATAAGTAGTTTTTTTTTTTTTTGGAGTTAGAGAGGATACTGGTATTTGAATGATTAATTAATTACCGTTAGATTGTTAATGCTATTATAATTGCCTGTTATATGATTAATTACTCTTTCCCCTTAAATTGTTGCAAATAAGTTAAAGAATATTAATTTAAAAAATATTTGCATTATTAAAATTATTAAAATTCATTGTTGTAGCGCCGGAACTGTAATATATCAAATATCTGGTTTTACAATACCTTTATCAGTTCCAAAAACTTTTGGAAACTTTTGGAACTGATAAAGGTATTGTAAAACCAGATATTTTATTATAATTATGTTGTGAAAGCTAGACCCAGAGAATGAAAGTCGTGTAAACTCAACTATGGACCATTGTTGGTCCAACAAAAGTATCTTTTGTTGGTCCAACGGAGTGAAAAACGGTTGGACAACGGTTGGCTTGATGTATGATACCCAGCAATGCATATTAATGTATTTCATTAACAATGAACCAATGTTGGTCCACAGTTGTAAATATTGGTTGGCCCAACTACGAGATATACAGTTGGACAACGGTTGGTTGGTTGTGGAAGCTCCAACCAACCATCGACCAACTGTCCCACAGTTGGCCAACGTTGGCCCAACCATCTGTGCTACATGGGTAGATTTCTCAGTAGCTTCTAAATACAAAAAGGACTTTTGCTTGAATCTAGCCCATTCATCAAAAGTGTTCTTGTTCAAATCTATAGGTGGTGGGGCTTTCAAATCCATAATGTGTTGTTCTAGGATGAAATAATAGCTATATGGTTTTATATTACCTTAATATTTTGACCGCTGCCACCAGTAATAAAGTTGAATCACACATAATAAAGTCCATTTTATTTTCAAGAAATTCAACTAATGTAAACATAAACCATAACAAACAATACTAATAATTAATACACAACAGCTGTTATGTCACACTAAACTAAAATCATGGCTTCGACATTCCCTAGTTCTCAAAATTATCTTTCTTTCAACACAAGAATCATGAAAATCCGTCGAGTGGTTGATTCAGAATCGTGAAATAAAAAAACACTGTTTCGTTTTAATATTATAGATAGGTATTGTTTTGTTGAAATGGGAAAAAACTGTATAATTCTCTACCCTCTCATTATAAATGTTTAGAATTTAACTGTTTTAAGAGGAACGTTAAAGCACCTTTTGATTAGTATATTAGTCCATATGACATAAATGAGTTTTTCCTTAATGTTAATGACCATGTATAACAAAAAATGTCTGTGATTATCTGTGGACTGTTTTATAGTTATTTATTATAACTAGTTGACACTGCTTTGCATTGTAAAATGTACTGGCAATAAAGATTTGATTTGATTACCCCGACCGGATATGAAACGATCGGTAACTGGCAAATAAAACGATCTAATCATAAACAATAATTCATTCCTCAGCTATATAACTCAACAGTAAAACAAAAACTATTAATTCAACCCTAAAATAAGTGAAATTTCATCAACACTAGCGATCAGTGTCACCGGACATAAACTAGACACGGAAAACGAGCTTTAAAATTTAAGATGGGGTGAGAGAAGTCTTATGTTACATCAATTATACTTAAATCATAACTATACAATACTTGTATTTAATTAAGTCTACATTACATGTTGGAATCAGCAAAGTTAATCGGACTTTCAATGCACTTTTTATAGTACTTAAAATATCTATCCTGAAAAAGTATCGAAAGTGATCATATGTTTTATAGCTCATCTGACTTGCTCGCTATCCTCTATGCCTTATGCAACGAGCTCATCCATTGGTTGCTTAGAATGTAGAATGTACGTTGTGATTGGCCAGTTTGAATCCTTATAACAAAACAAAGTCCGTTTGTGAACAGCCGAACAGGTCCTCTCCTCACAGGCTTACATAGAGCAATTTTTTGCAGTGATTGTTAAATTATTTACCATAGCTTTAGAGTTGCAAAATTTTTGATTATGGATGTGCAGTAAGAAGACTAAGTTTGTCAGATACCGGTAACGAGGGAACAGTTATACAAGCAATCCCTAATCTATAAGAATATTACTGTCCATTTATATTTTGTGTTAACTTGTTCTCAGTTGTAACAAAAAGCCCAATATGAGTTTTTCAAAAGCAAGATTACGACGTTTTAATGAAGAAATCCGTAAGTATAAGTTAACTGTAAGAACTAGTATTCATTTTCAGCCTTTTGATCCTAAACATGTTTTGTTTAAGTAAGATAGAACGAAGGTCTAGGTCTAGGCCTACTTCAGCTAACAGCAAGTGCGCATCACTCACTTGTTCCCGTTAGCCCTATGTCTCGTCATGTTTTTACACAATTAGTCATAAGTTAACCAGCCTGAGTTGTAGGCAATTCATGTTACCTATGTTTTGTACTTGTAAAGATGTTGAGCCTAGGCTTAACTTAGACTAGTGTACCTGTTGCTTGAATTCGAGCAATTGTGAAGTATTAACTTACAGGCTTATTTTAAACACAGAGGATACGTGTCCGGTAACCAGACATGGATTAGGCGTCCGGTAGTGACGTCACCGGGTTGTGGGGTCCCGGACCACAACGATACGATGTTCGGCCAGCGTTGTTCGTGGTGTAGTGGATAGAGTGCTCGGCTGATATCCAAGAGGTCCCTGGTTCAAAACCCATCGGTTTCTTGAACTTTTTGTCACAGATTTTGCTTTGAATGTAATTTCTTCTTAACTGTACATCTTTTGTTAGAATTTTTGGCATTTATAATTTTATGCTATGAAGAGAATTGAACCTTCATTTGATTTTTTTCATTATCAGAAAGTTTGGTTGGTTAGGTTAGGTTATGACAGTAACTGCCGGACGTCTAATCCACGTCCTGTTACCGGACGCGTATCCTCTGCGTATTTTAAAACGAACTCATAGTTCCCGATGACTTTAAAATTGTCGACTTAAAGATTATGGAAAAAGCCTAGGCCTAGGCCTACTCACGATGTAGCCTACATAAGTTAACTTAACAGTTCGATATAATCAACATTTCTTGTAAATAAGTTATAGGCTAGGGCCTATATCAAAAATTGTTTGGTTTGGTATATCGTTTAGGCATACAGTACTATGATGAAACAAACAAAATTAGCTCAATAAGTTAACAACTATTTATTAAAATATGTTTAAACAATGAAACTTTAACTTTAAGGTTCCGGTAACTTAACTTAACCCTAGATCTGGCGGTCATTTTATTCACCAGTGGCGGGTATATTTTGGCGCTTTTGTAGTGGTATCATATATTTTGCCACAGAACATTTATTTGTGAATATAAGTACACACATATATATATTTTCTATTTCAGTGATGAATTTATAATATAATAATATAAAAATATTCTTTTCCTAGCAATGCGTTTAGGCGTAGTAGCAAAAGGTTTGCAAATTTTTGGATTATGCAAATTAGAAATTTCAAAAGCAACCCACAAGAAAACCACAAAATAATTTTTTTACACATTTTATCTAAATGTAAAGTTTGTGTGAAATATAATTCCCTACGTAGAAATATCAATGTTTTTTTAAATACTCATAAAAATAAAATTATAAAAAAATAAATTCTTCATACATGTTTTCTTTTCTGAAAAACTAGCAATTTTTTTTTGTCACGTAGGAAATAATAGAATGCATCAACAAAAAATGAAATGATACTGTACAATAGGCAATAAAAAGATCTTTCTGAAAATATATAGTTATATTTAGTTGAAATCTAAAATGTCGGAGAAATTTACGTCGGAATGTAAAATTTTTAAGATTTTTTTACAAAAAAAATTATATTTATGACATTTTTAAAAACAAATAAAATTTTTACAATCAACATTATAGATTCACAGGGAATTGTAGGGAATTTATTGTAGTTTCAGAATATGTACTAATATTGTATACAATTTAATTGACAATCACCAAAAACAGCTGTTGTTGTAGTCAGGTGACCAAAACTTTCCACAGCCAAAATCTATTTTGAACTCTCTAGTTTTTCAAACTACCGTTTCTCGCTACATAATACTCACTCAATAATGTTTTATGCATGAAAATGAATCCTCAGAATCTCATCTTTCTAATGATATAAGATTTATTGCGTTTTAAAACTGTTTTCATATTTTAATAATAGAAAAACCCGACCCATGTCATCTTGGTCTATAATCGACCAGCGCCACTGAGAACTCACATTTTAGTGGTCGAAAATCGACCAGCGCCAGATAGAGGGTTAAACAAAAATTAACACTAATACCGAAACCCTACCTAGGCTGACGTTAACCGAAACCCTCGGCCTGTGAGACCCCATTTGAAAAATAATGGACCCCGCTTAGACACACACAAACCGAAACCCTCGGCCTATGAGACCTTGCTTTAAAATACACTAACGATGGGCTTCTGAGACGGGCATGTTATGAACAGACAACTTGTCAGGGTCACGGCACCCATGAAAAATGAACAAACAATATATCAGGTAGGGGAGGAAAAGGGGGGAAGGTATGGGGGGAAAGGAATCTTCCAAGTAAACAGTAGTGCCAACATGCATTTTTTAAAATTCCCGTGGGCCTGTCAGACAGGGGTTTCGGTATTAGTGTTAAACATAAAACAAAAAATTTAGAAGTACATAGATTTGAAAATACGTGGAAATAAAGTTGCAGCATAACGTAACTTAGGCCTAATTGTTGTCTAGTCTAAACAAATCTCTAGTCGATACCTTCCGCCACGTTTCTCTCTTTTTAATGTGTTAATGCCGTCTCCTACTTCGATCATTCCCAACACCCACTTACCCTCAACTAACCGACCCCTTTTATATTTTCTTTTGCCTATTTTGCATTCATCTCTCAATCACCACCTAGCATTTCTTCATTTTCATAAGATTTTTCTAACCAACAACAGCAAACCTCACGGCAAAATGACAACCAGTCTGCGATCGTTTTCCTACTTGTTCTCAATGGGTTTGATCTTGTTTCTCTAATCAGAAAGTTGTAGACTTTCATATGCCCAAATGTCGTCCAAGCAGATCTCTGAAATGCAACTCACGTAGGCCTATGATATCAGGATTTTGAACACGCTTCCTAAAACTGTAAGAGACTAGAAGATTAAGCCTTCAAAAAGACCCTCCTCAAAGCACTGGTGAAAAGGCCGTTGGCCGAGCTTGAAGAGCCACTCTTTCCATCCTGATGAATATTGAAACTAGCACTAAATAATCCAAACCGCCATGCCACAAAGTTTCTGTATTTTTTGTAAATATTAGTTTTGTAATACTGTATTTACAAAACTATTTATATTGTTTCTTGCACGGGATTCCTAATTTTTGGGGGACACTACAAATTTTCAAAATCACAAAATGAAACTTCCTGCTAAGTTTATACGACCACCAAAAGGGTATCTCTGTATTAACGACCACATTTAAGACCAATAAATGGAGCATGTTGGCCGCGACGTGAAGCCAGTATTTTTCTCCATTCTTCACTAAGCTGCCTGGCTTCACCTGCTTTAATGTTAGTTAGATAGGCGTGCTCTCCATCTAGGCCTATTGGTCTTATGTGATCGTTGCTCTGTATATATTTTCTTAGAAAAATATTAGATGGGGGTCTTGACTTTTTATTCACCCTTTATGGACTTAGATAGTCTTGTATGGATACGGAATTAATGAGAAATACACCCGCCGCAGCAAACCTGCAGACTTAGCGAATTTCCATTTGCCTCATTGGATTTACACTAAAACGTCTCCTTAAATATATCAGATTTATTCCCTATTTAAATAGAATTAGTTTAACAAGTAGGCCTACTTAGGTTTGCTGTAACAGGGAGGGTAAAAAAGTGATTTTTTAATGTAAAATGTTTAAAAATAGGTACTGTAGTTTGGTAAGAAATTAATGTATTTTCCAAATTTGATCAAAATATGTTCATAAATAAGCAAACTACAACAGTTGACTTATTCTCCATAAAAATTACATGGGAATTTTAAAATTAAAATTTTTTTGAATTTTCTCCGTAGCCCTTAGGCGCATAATAACGCTTCAACAAAATTATTTGTTTCTTTAAGCTCTACGTAATGGTTTGGAAAGGAATTGTGAAATTTTGTGTTTTTAGGGTCAAAAATAGGGGATAAACCTATTTTTTACCCCATAAAACCCCCCATAAACCCCCGTTCCCATAGTCCGATCATGCTGGTTCGCGAACTCATTCAAGATTATTCTGCTTAACACCTTTAAATTAAATTTCATCAAAATCGGACAGAAAATACTCAAGTTATTGCGTTCACGGACACATATACATATATATAGGCCCTATATAAATCTATATATATATCCATATATAAATACCCCCGCCGCAGCAAACCTGCTGTCTTAGCGAATTTCCATTTGGCTGAATTGATTTTCAATTGATCTATTTAAATAACATTAGGTTTAACGAGTACCTAGGTTTGCTGCTACAAGGAAACTAATAAAGTGTGTGTTTTAAGTAAAATAATTATTGCTTAGTATAAAATGAATATATTTGCCAAGTTTGATCAAAAGATATCCATAAACAAGCAAACTACAACATTTTACAACATTCTCCATAAGAATAACATGGAAATTTTAAATTGACCATTTTTTTAGTTTTCTCCGTAACCAATAACCGAACAAAAACACTTTGATATACTGAATTGTTTGTTTTTTTAAGCTCTTTAAGCGAAAATTGGGAAATTTTGTGTTTTGAGGGTCAAAAGTGAGAAAAACCAATTTTTACCCCATAAAACCCTGTTCCCATGGTCTGATCATGCTGGATCGCGAACTCATTCAAGTTTATCCCGCCTTACACCTTTAAACCAAATTTCATCAAAATCGGATAAAAATTACTCAAGTTATCGTGTTCACGGACACATATATATATACATATATAAAAATTTGAACGAATTGTGTTTTTGGCCTCTGGGGACATCAAAATGAAAAAGTAAATCGGTCCCGGGCCTAAATGTTACCATGAGACCTACGGTAATAGCTACTTCCCTATAGGGAAATTCGCTAAAATGTTAACAAATGGTGTTTTTGGCCTCTGGGGACATCAAAATGAAAAAGTAAATCGGTCCCGGGTCTAGGTCTTACCATGCCACCTACGGTAATTGCTTGCGGTACTTCCCTATAGGGAAATTCGCTAAAATCTTAAGAAATTCAA